TGTACTGTGGCTGTGATGGAATTTGGCATGGCATTTGGAGGGGCATCAGGGAGATGCTTTCTGTGAACATAGGCGGCCTGAGCAGAGGGGTCTACGTAGGTAGCTACCAACCATTTTTCAAGATTAGAAGTTTCTCGTGGGGCAACTGTGCAGGTACAGAACATTATGCCGGCGCTAATATGAAAGTTTAAAATTTGCCTTTTCATTATGGTATGGCATAAATAATGACAAAGTCCTTGAAGCAGGAAGATCTTGTAGATGAGGGAAATCACTGAAGAGAGATTAAAATAGCCGAAGGCCAAGGTGAGAGCTCCCTCAGTAAAATCCTTGCCTTGTCGGCATGAGGATCTGAGTTCGAGTGCCATACCAACATTAAGGAAAAGCTGGGCATGGTGGTTTGTAGCTGTCAGCTCAGTGCTGCACTAGTAGAAACAGATAGGTTTCTGGGGCTAAGTGGCCAGCCAGCTTAACATACATGGCTACTTCCAGACCACTGAGAGACCCTGTTGTAAGAAACAAGGAGGGTAGTGTCCCGTGGACTGACAGTTGAGGCTTACCTCTGACCCTCACACAGAAGCAAACTAACACGCATACATGTATATATAAGTACTCACAACACAGGGGGGTAAGAGAGACTATGAGAGTTTGTTCTAAAGCTTGATATATAAGTGGAGGAGAGAAGCAGGGATGGGCTTAGATAGATGGTCAGAAGGGACCGTCTATCTAAACTGTTCCATGTGGAGTCCTCCGCTGAGGGCTGTACCATGGTGAAGAGCCAGGTCCTACGCTTGCTTTGCTGCTTCCCTCCGTTGTAGTGACAGAAACTGATGCTAGAAACTTGCCATCAGCCCAGAACCTTCTCCGGATCCCTCCTCTTTCCTGGGCTTTTCATCTTGTCTCTCAGAGATTGTTTGTTGTTTGTTTGTTTTTGTTTGTTTTCTCCTGCTGAGTCTCACCAACTCTCATTCTTCTGAAATTCAGGCCTTTATACTCTGCATTCATGGCTAGCTGTGGACTCTGCCATTGTGTTTCCAGATGCTTCTTAGGTATTATCATCAGGTATCATCCCATTTCCTGACTAGGCAGACAAATTTTCCATGTGTTTCTCCTGTCTTGAGTTAAGAATGGAATTTAGCAGGCCAGGATGTGTAAAGCACTTTCTGTGCAAGTCTGACGACCTGAGCCTTTTGATCTGATTCCAATCCTTGAGACATAAATAACAAGTCAAGACCCATGTAAAAAGCCAGATGCAGTGACATGTTTCAGTAATCCCAGCACTTCTACAGTGAGCTTAGAACTGGAGACGAGCGTGTAACCTTAAAGCTTGTGCGTCAGGTAACCTGGGGTACAGAGTGCTCCAGCAGACACAAGAAGAGAGGGCCTGTCTCAACAAGGTGAAAGGTGAAACCAACTCCTGGCAGTAGTTCTCCAACCGCCCCCCCACACATACACACACACTCCCACAAACACACTCACATACACACATAGACGCACACACATACACTCAGTCATACACACATACACACACCCACTCACACACACACATATACACACATGCGAACTCACATACACACTCACAGGCAGACACATACACTCACACACATGTGTCCACAGACACACACACACACACACACATGTACTGCACACACACACACGGTGAAATGTATTAGACGGCCCTTCACTGTCATGTTACAGGAAAAGGAGTTTTATAAGCTGCAGTGAAACTGAAAGTACAAAGACTGTAGCAAAATAACCTTTTTCTTCGGCTGCTTCTGGTAGATCACATTTCAATGCTTTGCCTGTCTTTAGTTTTATTGGATTCTATGGTAACTCCCTAATAATAAGTCACTGGTGGAACAGCCACTTTACCAAATGGCCAAGTATAATACCAAAATAACTTCATCTACTATCTCAGCAAACTTCCCCTCAGGTAAATATCAGCCCCTCTTGGGGGTGTAGAGCCTGCTGGATCCCCTACTCATCAGACTAGAGAATCTGTGACAACGTCCAGGGTTAAGGCCAGTTACACCAGGTGGAAACAGCCTAATGGAGGGGGAGGTTCACTGCGAGAGGGAGGAAGCTTTTCCTACAGCATGGCCACGTCATGGCGGGACCCAGAGACGGAGGACCAGTCTCTCGACTCCCAGAGAGACACTGAGTACCATGTAGTGCCGGCCGGCAGAATTCAACAGCAGCCCTTCTTGTTTGGATTTAAAGGACCTTCCTAGTCATAAAACTATCATAAAGCTTCCTAGTCATAAAACTTTTTACTGCATCTTGGCTCTAATAGACATGTAGATTCATAGTTGTAATAGATGAAGTAAAAAAAATGCTGCAGTAGAGGTATACGTATTAAGATATATTAAGATATATGCTTACATTCACTTTTCAAAAGTTTTATTATTTTTAAGTGTGTGTGTGTGTGTGTGTGTGTGTGTGCATGTGTGTGCACGCGCATGCTTGCAAACACGAGTTTAGTGCCCACAGAGTCCAGAGAGTGGATGATCCTCAGGAATTGAAGTTGCAGGGGTGCCGAGCCACCGGAGGTGGGCCTTGGGAACTCAACTCGGAACTTCTGCAGGGGCAAAAGCATTCTTAACTGCTCAGCCGCTTCTTCAGCCCAATCTTCAATTTTCTATGCACAAAATATTAAGAGGGTAGCACAGACAAGGTGGACCCTCTTCTCTGCGAAGATCCAGGGCTATATTAGGACATATGTGAGGATTGCATGTATTTTTTTTTCAGAGATGGAAGTTGATTGCGCCAGATCTCACAGGAGAAGCAGTTGTGTTCTGAGGAGGGGTAGAGAGAGCAATGGCACTCCAGCATGAGCGCCAAGGCCTCCACTTTGAGAAAAGGATGTGTCTGATGGTCTTCTGCCGTCTAGGAAACACACGCTAAGCTGAAGGTTTTTCTGAGTATAATGTGGGGCTGGATTCGAGTGCTTTCTTCATTGCTGGGACCAAATCCCTAAAAAGCAGTTTAAGTGTGTGTGGGGGCGGGGCTCTGTTTAGGCCCCTGGTTGATGCTGCAGGCCAGATGGTAGAGGAGGAAGGGCAGTGGGGGGTGATGGGAGTGGCTTTTGACTGTGGTAGCCAGAGAGTGCGGGTCACGTAGGCCCAGATCAGGAAGCAAAGACCAGCCTGGATGCAGAAACGGACCGAAAACAGGAGACCTACTTCCTGAGAACCATTTCCTGGATTCAGAATCTTCCTCTCAGAACAATAGCATCAGCTGCCAAGAGTGAGTGTTCAACTCCATGGGCCCGGCAGGGGGCGCACTCCACATTCAAACCACTACAGCAGCTAAAACCATGAGGAGAGTTAAGCAGTGTGGACTTGATGGGGCTGTTAATTCCTTAACACTCAACCTCTGTGGTTGCTTGCGCAAGACCTGCACAGGGTCAAGCCGCTCAGCGTTCTAGCACAGAGGAAGGAGGCCTCTCGAAGCCTCACCTCCACCTGAGACAGCTGAGTTCTGCTGGGCGAGGGGGTCAATTTCCATCCACAGTGTGGATTGGCCATGTCCCGCCGGATGGTCCTTCACCCGTG